GACGACAAAAACTGAGATAAATTATTGCCAGCCCATTTGCATGAGAAGAGACGTTACAGCAATATCTGGCAAACTGAGCATGATATCAGATGAACTTCTGAAGGAAAACACACAGACACACTCATGCACATGCATAGACACACACACGTTTGGACACAGTAATAATGTGGGTAAATATAACAGACTAGTTTTTTAAATGTCTTTAAAATGTAGTTGCCTTTAAAATATAATTTACAATGTGGGTGTATAGAACAGATTTAATATTTTAAAATTTCTTTAATATATAATTGAAATCTCTTTAAAATAAATTTGTCCCGCTGCTTAGGTTTCTCTGACGCTTCAGAACTCTGGTTTATTATCTTTCATTATATTTGAAAAAGTCTTGACCTTTATCTCTTCAAATATTTCTTCTGCTTCGTTCTTTCTTCTCCACCTGAGATTCCATGTATGTGTATATTAAATGATTTTGTTCTGTTTCACAACTCTTCCATGCTTCTGTTTGCTTTTTAGCTCTTTTTTTCCTCTTTGTGTTTTAATTATGTTCAAGGTTATTGCTGTTTTCCATTTCTCTGACTATTCTGCTGAAAAGTCTGTGGAAGTAATTCTTCATGTCTGATATTGTGATTTTATTTTCAGCATTTCCACTTGACTCTGTTTAAACTCTCTCCTTCCTTCTGAATTTCTCACATCTTTTCATACATGGATTCACCTCTTCCACTACCCGATTCCTTCAGCATATTAGTCATTGTTATTTTAAGCTCCGTGTCCTACTGTCAACCTCTGAGATGTCTCCATGTCTGCTTCTCTTCATTATTTTCTTTCTTGAATATATGTCCTTTTACCTGCTTTATGTGTTCCATAATGTTTAGATAAACGTCAGACATTGTTAGTAAAAGGAAGAAATTGAAACTAGATGAATAAAACTGAGACTAGGTGACTAAAATTTATGCCTGGAAGTTTTCAGTTTTTTCTTCCATCAGGCAATTTGAAGGGAAGGGTTGAGTAAATCTAGTCTGTCGCTGAGCTGGTTTTAGGCTTTTTGGTCGCTAGTTTCCTTCTCTGTACCACAGACTTCAAATTCCTTTAGTGCAAATCACCACTATCTTGTGCTTAATTCATGGCCCAGAGTACTAGAGGCTTTCTCTTAGAACTCCTGTTCCACTGTTGGCTTTCCGTAGGCCTGCACTCCTAAACCGTATCGGTGGTTTCTCTCTGCACCCTTGCCCATCCCTTAGTGATAGGCTGGTGATGTTTCTAACTGAGAGTAAGGCGGGAGCAGTGTTTTCTTGGCTCTCCTTTTGCAACTTCAGAATTACATAGTCCCTGTTCACAGAAGCCTCAGCATTCCTTTCTATTCCCAAGTGGCAGTCAATCCCCACCTTATACTCATGCAGGGCCTAGAGCACAAAATGGGCTTCTCCAAGTGCTCCTCCTCCACCCACTCACCTAGCCAGGTCCAGCATCCCATTTCATTAATGCAGTTCTTTCAGGTCTCTGTCCCCGTCCCCAGTTTTTCTCATGAACACGCGATGGATGCACATGGAAAACAACTAGTGAGGCCAGTCGCAGTGGCTCACGCCTGTAATTCCAGCACTTTGGGAGGCTGAGGCAAGTGGATCACTTGAGGTCGGGAGTTCGAGACCAGCCTGACCAACATGGAAAAACTCATTCTCTGCTAAAAATACAAAATTAACCGGGCATGATGACGCATGCCTCTAATCCCAGCTACTTGGGAGGCTGAGGCAGGAGAATCGCTTGAACCAGAGAAGTGGAAGTTGCAGTGGGCCCAGATCGCGCCATTGCACTCCAGCCCGGGCAACAAGAGCGAAACTCTGGTCACACTGCCTGTGGGGTATCCCTGCTCTGCAAGGGGCAGTGAAACAAACAAACAAACAAACTAGTGAGAAAGAGTGTGCTTCCCATGTATCTAGAACTCCCAGGATATTAAACTCACACTGATCTACCTCTAGCTTTTAGAAATTTACTAAAATATCAGTTGTATTCTTCTAACTGCTTTTATAGTGATCATTTCTTTCTTCTGTGTGCTGCCAAATGTGACATATTTCACGTGTTCCATCTCTCATCAGGAACCCATCACTCCTTAGGATTCCATTTCCTTGATTGCTTTGTGATCTCAGTTCTCTGATTGGCTCAAATATAATTACAATTTGTAGATTTTTTTCTACTTTTTCTCATTGCTTGAGTGAAAGTGATGTGATTTTTCAGCCCTTTATATCCTAATTGGCTTATCTTGAAATTTTTTTGAAGAATATAGGTCATTTAATTGTAGTTATCTCTCAATTTGGGTTTTTCATATGTCTCTGTGTATCAACATGGCATATGGCATCTATAAATACATTACTTGTGATGTTAACTTTTATTCCTTGATTGCTACATTTCTGTACTGAAAATTTCAGTTTTTCCACTTTTTACATAATGTTGCCATGGGGAAATACTTCGTATATTTGTAAATATCCTATATTTCCTCAAACTTTTACCCACTAGCTTTAGCATGTATTGACACATTTTGCCTGAATCAATTATTATGATGGTTGACAACTTGTAATTTTCTCATTTCATATTTCCTTATCCATTTCCTTATCCACTGGGAGGAAAAACTTTCCATTGTTTAAATTTATATATTTATGTATTTTATTTACATCAGTGTGAACTTAAGAATTCTTTATTTGAGGGCCATAATCCTTTGCTATCATTATTTTAATGTTCTTTTTTTTTTTTTTTAATTAAGACAGAGTTTCGCTCTTGTTGCCCAGGTTGGAGTGCAATGGCGTGATCTCGGCTCACTGCAACCTCCACCTTCTGGGTTGAAGTGATTATCCTGCCTCAGCCTCCCAAGTAGCTGGGATTACAGGTACCCACCACGATGCCCAGCTAATTTTGTATTTTTAGTAGAGACGAGGTTTCACCATGTTGGTCAGGCTGGTCTTGCACTCGACCTCAGGTGATCCACCCGCCTCAGCCTCCCAAAGTGCTGGAATTACAAGCGTGAGCCACTGGGCCTGGGAATGTTCTAATTCTTCTAGGTTTGCCCAAGGGAACCACTAGAGCTGGCCCCTGTGTCCTATGACAAGCTCTATCATTCTTTAGACTCTTCATACTTTCTGTTACTAAAAGATGTTCTACATTCATCTTGTAGTTTCCCTGCTCCAGCCCTTGAGCCAGCCATTTCTCAGATGAGTGCTCATTTCATTTCGTGTAGAATGGTATTTAGAAATCAAGATATGGGCAGTCATTTTTATTTTTAAAATAATACCCATAAACTAGGAAATCATATGAAACAAGTTGATAAGAAGGAATTAACCTACATCTTTCCTGGAATATAAGAGATCCTCAATATAAGTTTATTGAATGAGTGAACAATATTTTAAAAGTAGATTTTAGTAGGTAGTCTGCATTTGACAATTTTATCTAACCCCACAGTTATTCTCCTCTCCCCGAATCTCTTACAAGAATAATTTTAATACCTCTAAGTTTCAGGTTTAAGTCTGTCACTCAGTTATTTGAATATGCTATTATATTATCATTTGCACAAAATCTAAACTTCTTGACCTAACAGTACAGCTCAGACCCTAGTTCATATGTAAATATCTATGCTTCTATTAACTGTGTTCCAATGAGAATTTGCTAACAACCAAAAACATCTTACTCTATTCCTATTTCTTTCTTATACAGTTCCATTTGTTGGAAATATATCTACCTTACAGAACAAATGTTACTCATCCATGAAGCTTTCTCTGATTTCCTCTAGCTTGGAATGATTTACACATTTTCAAACTCATAAAATGATGATTGATTAGTTTATTTATATTGGCTCAGCTCTCACACTTCTCATATAAAAAGCATACTAGATTTCTATTACCTTTGTAAATAACATTTGGATAGATTGACTACTTATGACTTTGCCAGGACAGATGCATTATACTACTACTTAGAACCAGCTTGTCATCATTTTGAGAAAAAGGTTCATTATTTTAAAATGATGAAAGTATGCACTTGGCCGGGCGCGGTGGCTCATGCCTAATAATCTCAGCACTTTGGGAGGCCGAGGCAGATGGCTTACAAGGTCAGGAGTTCAAGACCAGCCGGGCCAAGACGGTAAACCCTGTCTCTACTGAAAATACAAAACTTAGCTGAGTGTGGTGTGGCAGGTGCCTGTAATCCCAGCTACTCAGGAGGCTGAGGCAGAGAATTGCTTGAACCCGGGAGATGGAGGTTGCAGTGAGCCAAGATCGCTCTACTGCACTCCAGCCTAGGCGACAGTGCGAGACTCTGTCTCAAAAAAAAAAAAAAAAAACACAGAGAGAGAGAGAGAAAGTATGCACTTCATTTTCAAAGAGTTTTAACATCTATAAAACATATTAAACATAACAAAGACATGATCATATATTGCTTAATTCTGTGATACACAACTAACTAGAAAGATATGTTTATGTCAATTTTACAAATGAAGCAACTGTAAAGATTTACATGGATTGCCAAGGTCAAGTTACTAACAAGTGGAGGATCCAATTCTAAAATCTAGACTAACTTCAAATCTTTTCTACCTTCTCCCATCACAGGAAAGCTCCCAAATATTTGTAATAAACAGACATGAAAAAATACCAAAACAAAAACAAAACTATTCATGCTTATTAAATGAGGTGTGGAAGGAGTAAATGATGACTGGATTCAAAAACCTGACCACTAATGCTTATCTAAATAAGGCATAGAGCTTGTTAGATGATCTTGCATTGAGGTTAATGCAACAAAGGAAACTTTCTAGGCCGAAGTTCATCTAGGCCACATCAAAAGGCAGTTTTAAAACAATCAATGGGAATAAGCTTTGTAACTCAAACCTCACCTCGTATAGAAAGCTTTATCTAAAACTCCCACACTGGCTTATATGCCCTTTTTATGGGCTCCATAGAACCCTCTCTCTTTATCTTTATACTTGTACAAATATCATTGCATTATTTTTTCTCTTCTTTGTGTCTTTTCAGATAGAATATGAACTCCTTCTTTAGAGAGTTGACCATTTTTTAATTATTTTGCATGGTGCTGAACCTGCTGAGAGCTCATGATAAACAGGTAACAAATGAATGTCCTTGTGATCTGAAAAATCATCTTATGTATTTGTATTTAATCTGCCCAGTGATCAAAAAGTAATTATAGCTACAGTATTTGTCATAATTTATCTAGCAAATCTTTTGTAAATATTTGTGTTTTCAAAATGTCAGGTGTTTTCTTCAGAAAGCATAAATGAGTTTTTTGAATTGTCCCTTGCTATAAAATAATTAAAGTTATTACTAGGTAGGTTTAAACTATTATTAAATGATAGATATTATTATATACACTATCAAAGGAGATTGGCAAATTGGAGTAATCTCTGTTGCACTGAAGAATACTTGTATTTCAAGAAAGATCCGTGAGTATTTTCAGAATTTGCCTTCATTATAGTGAAGACCAAATGCAGTGAGACTCTCTAGTTTCCTTTTTATCTTCTATGTGTGATTAAGGGAACCCAAATACTGTAGCACAATACTTTCACACTGTTTTAAAACAGAAAAGCCTTCTAATAAAATACTGCATGAATGATAAGTACAGAAAATATATTCAGAGTTCTATTTTGCCCTGATTGCAGTGGAAGTGGAGAGATTTTATTAGATGTACCCCTTCCCACACTCTTCCCACTTACACACACACACACACACACACACACACACACACACACACACACACACGAGTCTCTTGAAGTTCAAGGCAACTGCAGCGTCCTGCATAGGGGAGATTGAAAACATTTGCACTAGAATGCGTCATTAACAGGTCATCAGAGGTTGAATAACCCCCACTCCATCAGGTCATTCATGATTTTTAATTTTTAAAAGTCCTCCAGGTAATTCCAATATTTTGCCAGATTTAGGGATGACTAAACTGGGTACTTTTTAGGGTCTCTTTAAAACATATGATTTTAGTATTGTTTTCCCAAAGCCTACATTTTTTCTCATCTTTTTAAAATGCTCTTATTTTTCTTCTTTTCCTCCATGCTTTACTTCATTTCTTTTCTCTTTATTTTATTTCTTTTATTTTTTTCTTTCATAAGTCATTCAGTCCAAAAACATTACGTAGAGCATATTGTAGGTGTCTGTCCTGGGAGGACACCCATAGTGACATAGAGTGGGAGGCAAAGCCCAAAGGGGATGGGTAGGCATCTTTATAGGACGATGCTACGGTGATGGTCTCAGAGCCCAAGAGTGAGTGAGGTGGCCCAGCACAGGGTGCTGGAGTAGGAATTGGATGAAGAGGATGTCCTTATGGTAGGGCCAGAGTAGCAGAAGGAACTGTAGCTTGAGTGGAGTGAGGAGTGTATCCACATTGGAGGCAGAGGACAGGTCAATGAAGTATGTCTAAAACTACTAATGGATATTTTGGTTCCTCCAAAAGGCCTAAAAACTGCTCAAAGACATAGTAGTTCCTCCATGACCTGGTTACTGCTCCTTCTACCTTTACCTCAACTTACTATATTCCTACCCCACTAGCCCTCCTTCAGTTTCACCAAGGCTCATACCTTGTTCAATGTTGTTCACCTTTATGCAATTTGAGAGCTCCTTCCTGGAATTCTCTTCCTGCCATTTCCCATTTAACAAACTCCTAACCATTCTTAGAGATACAGTAGCTCATGTTTTAATATATAATTATTTAAGTATTTAAGTAACAATTGATTTATGTCTATCTCCTCTATCCAATTGCAAGTTCTCTGAGAAAAGGAGCCATATATGTTTTGCATCCCACAGGGAAGTGCCTAACTCACAGCAAGTATTCTGTGCCTACTTTTAAAAAGCTTCAATTATTAGGTGGATGTTTGTATGGAAAGATGAATGAGGAGATGGATGAGAGTAATTGAGTACCTAAAAGCACATTTGAACAAAGAGTTTTACATCTTAGGACATATATTAGTCCATTTTCACACTGCTGATAATTACAGTTCCACATGGCTGGGGAGGCCTCACAATCATGGTGGAAGGCAAGGAGAAGCAAGTCACATCTTACATGGATGGTGGCAGGCAAAGAGAGAGAGCTTAGGCAGGGGAACTGCTCTTTATAAAACCGTCAGATATTGTGAGACTTATTTATTATCATGAGACCAGCATGAGAAAGACCACCTCCATGATTCAATTACCTCCCACTGTATCCCTTCTACTACATGTGGGAAGTGTGGGAGTTACAATTCAAAATGAGATTTGCGTGGGGACACAGCCAAACCATATCATTCCACCACAGCCCCTCCAAAATCTCATGTCCTCACTTTTTAAAATCAATCATACCTTCCTAACAGTCCCCCAACTTTTGACTTTTGCATTAATTCAGAAGTCCACAGTTCAAAGTTTCATCTGAGATAAGGCAAGTCCTTTCCACCTATGAGCCCGTAAAATCACAAGCAAGCTAGTTACTTCCTAGTTACAATGGGAGTACAGGTATTGGTTACACACAGACATTCCAAATGGGAGTAATTGGCCAAAACAAAGGGGCTACAGGCCCCATGGAAGTCTGAAATCCAGTGGGGCAGTCAAATCTTAGAGCTCTGTAATGATCTCCTTTGACCCCATGTCTCACCTCCCAGTCACACTGATGCAAAAGGTGGGTTCCCCTTGTCTTGGACAGCTCTACCTCTGTGACTTTGCAGGGTACAGCCTCCCTCTTGGTTGCTTTCACAGGCTGGTGTTGTGTCTGTGGCTTCTCCAGGCACACGGTGCAAGCTGTAGGTGGATCTATCATTCTTGGGTTTGGAGGTCAATGGCCTTCCTCTCATAGCTCCCCTAGGTGGTTACCCATTAGGGACTCTGTGTGGGGCCTGCGACCCCACATTGCCCTTTCCCTTCTGCACTATCCTAGCAGAGGTTCTCCATGATGGCCCCACCCCTGCAGCAAACTTCTGCCTGGCCAGCCAGGCATTTCCATACATCCTCTAAAATCTAGGCAGAGGTTCCCAAACCTCACTTCCTGACTTATATGCATTCACAGGCTCAACACTATGTCAAGGCTGCTAAGGCTTGGGGCTTGCACCCTCTGAAGCCACGATCTGAGCTCTACATTGGCCCCTTTCAACCACGGCTGAAGCAGCTGAGACACAGGGCACAAAGTCCCTAGACTGCACACAGCACGGGGACCTTGGGCCTGGCCCAGGAAACCACTTTTGCCTCCCAGGGCCTCCAGCTTGTGATGGGAGGGATTGCCGAGAAGACTCCTGACATGACCTCAAGACGTTTTCCCCATTGTCTTGGGGATTAACATTTGCTCCTCATTACTTATGCAAATTTCTGTAGTGAGCTTGAATTTCTTCTCAGAAAAAGGGATTTTCTTTTCTATCGCATTGTAGGGCTGCAAATTTCTCAAACTTTTATGCTCTACTTCCCTTATAAAATGGAATGCCTTTAACAGCACCCAAGTCACGACTTCAATGCTTTGCTGCTTATAAATTTCTTCTGCTAGATACCCTAAATCATCTCTCTCAAGTTCAAAGTTCCACAGATCTCTAGGGCAGGGGCAAAATGCTGCAGTCTCTTTGCTAGAACATAACAAGAGTCACCTTTGCTCTAGTTCTCAACAAGTTCCTGATCTCCATCTGAGACCACCTCAGCCTGAAACTTATTGTTCATATCACTATCAGCATTTTTGTCAAAGACATTCAACAAGTCTCTAGGGAGTTCCAAACTTTCTCACATTTTTCTGTTTTATTCTGATCCCTCCAAACCTCCAATCTCTGCCTCTGCCTCTGCAGTTCTGAAGGTGCTTCTACATTTTTGGGTAGCTTTTCAGTAATGTCCCACTCTACTGGTACCAACTTACTGTTTTAGTCCATTTTCACACTGCTGATAAAGACATAACTGAGACTGGGAAGAAAAAGAGGTTTCATGGATTTAGAGTTCCACATGGCTGGGGAGGCCTCGCAATCAGGGTGGAAGGCAAGGAGGAGCAAGTCACGTCTACGTGGATGGTGGCAGGTAAAGAGAGAGAGAGCTTGTGCAGGGGAACCCCTCTTTATAAAACCATCAGATATCATGAGACTTATTCACTAACATAAATATAGCACAAGAATATTTGTGCTCTCCCATGATTCAATAACCTCCCACTGCATCCCTTCCATGACATATGGGAATTGTGGGAGCTACAATTCAGGATGAGATTTGGGTGGGGACACAGACAAACCATATTGGGACATAATTAAGAAAAACAGGGTGGTAGATTTAGCTGGCCACATCTTTTCTAAGAGTGTTGGTTCCAGAATTTTTATTGGTATATGTGTGTGTGTCTGTGTGTCCAGTGAGAGAGGGAGATGGGGAATTGCACTCAGACCAACAGGTATCATCTGTAAAGTAACTAGTACTGTACCTCACATATAGTAGGTGTTTCATATGCCATTATTATTGAAGAAATGAGAGTTTATATATGTAAAGTGGGAGTACTCTGCAGACACATTTTGCCCTAGATGTGTTAGGGTTGATTATTAGAATCTTTTTAAATTTAATTTAAGAAATAAACATTTTTGAATACTGATATTGTTTGGATGTGCACCCCCTCCAAGTCTCATGATTAAATGTAATTCCCAGTGTTGGAGGTGGGGTATGGTGGGAGGTGTTTGAGTCATGAGACAGATCCTTCATGAATGACTTGGTGCCCTTTTTGCAACAATGAGTGAGTTCTCACTGTGCGTTCTCCTGTGAACGCACTTATGAGCATTTGACCCCTCCCCTCTCCCTCTCTTTTGCTCCCTCCCTTACCATGTGACGTTCCTGCTCTCCTTTGCCTTCTGCCATAATTGTAAGCTTCCTGAGGCTCTTACTGGAAGCAAATGCTGGAGCCATGCTTGTAGAGCCTGCAAAACCTTCAGCCAATTTAATCTGTTTTCTTTATATATTATCCAGCCTCAGGTATTCCTTTATAGCAACACAAATGGACTAACACAAATATTCTTGCATTTTATTTAAATAGAAGTCCCTGGAGCAGGCAGGAGAGCTCCAAACGTGAAAAGGCTCTGTCTATTCCCATCTTTATATAATTAGAAGCAACCTAGATTCCATGTTAGTTTAATG